TGTATTACCCATTACCGAGATGTTTCATGTGTTGAATATTTCAATACTGTAGGACAAGATGTGGAACAATAACTACATTCTTAAAGGCTCGTTGAGCTGGAATGAACAAATTTTTACCCCATAACTTAAGATGGTAGAGCTGGGTATGCTAGACCTACTATATAAATGATTCTTTCGATATTCTTAAGAAAGCCTATGGTCCCGCAGTGTGAGTGACTCTGTAGTACAATTGTCAATATTCACAATGACATTTTTATGGCGACTACTAAAAACCTGATCCCCTTGTTTACCTGTCATCGCTGTGGAGTCAATATTCACAATGACATTTTTTTTGGCGACTACTAAAAACCTGATCCCCTTGTTTACCTGTCATCGCTGTGGATGCAACCAAATAGGTACCTTTTCTTACCGTCGTCCAAAATAACAACGTTATTGCAATTGGCAGTGCCATGGTGGCATCTCACTACCAAATATGTCTCTACCATTTCACAACAACTTGATTATTGTGTACTTTCTAGATGTTTTCGATGTCATAACATGTTTATTATTTTAACTCAACATTTGAAGTTGCTTGATTTTTTTGAATATTTGTTAAATTCTATATTAGTAGTTTTAGTATAAATAAGTTTATACCACTGACCAGTGGACTGGTGAGTGGAGGTGGTGTACATGCAAGTGTGGCACTATCACTCACATGGTCGCGGGTTCAAAGCTCGGATCGATATCCGCCTAGGCCAACCAATCCTCCCATCCCTACGAGGTCACCACTTGTCTGGGAAAGTAAAAGTACTGGCTGTATATCGGCTGGCTACCGCAAGTCATTGTGTAGGACTCGGTACAGGCCACATACGCATTCAATACACCTCTACGATTCTGAATGGAAGTCAAAAGCGGGGACGCATTCCTTAGATAGAATTGACCAACGCCTGAAGACTTCATCCTTTCCGTTTATACCACTGCAGTCATTTTCGCGCTGGAGCTGAGTATCGCTATGACAGCTATCACTGACTGATCAGTAGCTTTCACTAGCTCTTACCCAGAGAAGATTCTTTCGTAATTTTGAAGACAGCCTTCAAATTGTAAAACCCTGTGAAACGTATTGACTGGCTAGTCCTAATCGACCAACTAGAAGTAAGACACTCTTTCAGAGAGTTCAAGAGGGGGTGTATTGCAGAGTGTAGGGCTACTCGAATAGGCAAGAATGTATGGCAGGTCAGTCCTATGTGCATATCTTACTGTATAGCGGATAGCAATACCGAAACAATCCCCTCAAATGAAAAGCTGATAAAATAGACATCGGAGATCCATTTCTGATCACGTACATACAAAGTGCGATTCATTCGGAAGAATCCAAGCCAGTAGTATCATCGCATTAATGCGGATCCAGCCTGACGAGTTTTTCCTGACGTTCATCTGCACAATTCCATAGGCAAAAACTTGCCAAAGACAACTGATAAAGCTCAAAGGCAAAAAGTGCATTCTGAGATTTGTCTTGACTGACAATGGAACCAGTCCGAAAAGGAAATGATCTTATAAGCCCAGAACTTCTTGTGACTTTCTTATGTTCTGGGTTTGTTTGTTTGTTGCAGAAGATTGGACTGGTTACTCGACGGGCAGTCGTTGGTTGGAATGCAACGAATCCAGACACTGATCAAGCTGTAACAGATGAGAATCCAGTAGTGGAAATTGATGACGCGGATGTAGCGTAATAGTCAAAGGCGCCCCATTGCTTTCGAATGGATCGAACCAAACGATTCTCATCAATATCTAAACATCCATGTGCCAGACGTTACTAGCCGAAGTCAGTTGAATCCAACGAACTGTTGCGGAAGTCAGTTTCGGATGGCGATAATTCCCCCTGAATTCCGACAGGAAGCGGCAGTGATTCCGCGGCGATTACGGTATCCTACCACTTCAAAGTACGCGACTGCGCGCGATCGACTGACGCAAGCGCGACGCGACGGGAGAAGTTGCCTCATCCGCCGTATTCACCTTCATTTTACTTCTTTTTCGATCGAACAATCAAATTCGAAAACGATATATTTTGTATGGTAAAATATACAAAAACCAAACTAAAACGGAAAAATCTAGGTAACCTCGGACCATAGGTTAGGTCATTTAGTAATACCGATGTGTTAGCTTTAAAAAGCTCTGTATGTCTGACATATGCTTGAGCAGAATGCTTCGATTCCCTCACTCAAGAGGCGATTTCCCTGGTCAGCGGAGTTCTTCTTGAAGACCAGCTTCAAGAACTCTATAGAAAATCCTGCGGGCAGAATTCGAGCTGAGCATCCCATCCTGCCCACAGGATTATGGTCGAACCAAAATAGGTGCATGAAACCGGATCAATCCGATTTATACGTAGAATCGATTTCCGACTATATCAATCGGTTCGCTCTGTCGGATCAGCTTCCGCCTCTAATAAATTGTTTTTCCCTTTTATTTCCCCCGCGACCGGTCAATATGGAGGGAACGACATCCGTCAAGCGGAATCATTGAACCGAAGATCACATTGCTTTCGTGTTGTGGAGTTCCTAACGTCCATACTTTCAGCATTATTCAAACGCACCTTGTCATCGCGTGCGATGTTTCCTTCCCCACTGGACGGTTCGTGGCTTAATCAAGTTACCCTATCCCAAACCCTTGATCTCTTAACCTACAACTTATGGGCTTCCAGAGAAAAATGGCCCCAGAATAGCCTCCCATTTTAATATCTCTCTAGCAACGTACATTCCTTACGGCTTCATTAGAAATGTTATTAAGAAAGCGCTTGCCGGTTGTGCACGATCAGGCGGCCTATGGGGAGCCATCCCAAAGCGGGTTCTTTCCGTAGCGACCGCAGCCAGTGCGAAGGCGTTTTCACGATCACTTCGTCCAATGTCGGCCCATTCACCAGCCAGTTCTTCTTCTTCTTTCCGTGATGTCTTCATTAATTGCCTAAATATTGATTGGTGTCGTATTGTTTTGTTGTTGCTCGGGCAATGGTCTTATTTTTTGTGTCGTCTCAATCTGTTGACGCTTTGGAAGACCTTCATGTCAATGTTTATTTATGGTTTATGGTTTACCCGTGCGTGATTTCCATCGATTCAAAAACCTACAACTCGCGAAAGAAACATTCAATGGTCCCTAACAGGAGGCGTTTTCAAAGAAATGTCCTTATTCCCAAACTTCTGGGATACGCCGTGCATTTGCTTTATGTCAAGCATAGTGGAAGCATTTAAATGTGTACTTGTTATACTGACCAAGTAAGGGGGGCCACTAACGGCCATTTACGATATTATTCTGCACGGGATGATTTCAATGCATAGAAAAATATGTCGGCCAAACGTCGATCCTACGGTTCATAAAGCAGAATGCGACGCATTGAATCATGGCTTCGAAACCAACTGATTGCACGGAATGTATGCAACTTGGTTAGGCTGCGGAGAGAGGAATAGAGTAACTTGACACTGACCTGTTACCTCGAAAGATACATCGTGCAAAAAAAGACTTGAGTGCCTCGGGATTCGGAATTTTACTTCACTGGGTACAGTGAAATGGTTGTCTAACCCTGGCCTGTGCTCCGTGATTCACCGAAAAAGTTCTTTCTGCGGTGCAGCTTGTCTTCGATGAGAAGTGCTGTCATTGACAGACTTTTTCCAGAGAATTCGAGTTCACTACCTAATAGATCCCCCTGTTATTGATTGGAATTTGGAAATCTGAACTCTTAGGGATGAAAAAGGGGCAAACGAGTGCCTCAGAGAGTGAGCAGGATCAGCTTAGTGGTTACAGAACAAGTCAATCAGCGCTTTACTCACCAAGACTAATCGGAGACAATGATTCGATTAGATAAAAGACTTGATACCCATCACTATCCGGGGATCGAACCCTGAAGCGATTAACGACATTCAAGTGTTCCGTCCGCTTAGGACCCGTTATTGATACGAGGCATCGTGGGAGGCTAAAAGCACAGACTTGTTCATCAGCTGGTCCCTACATTGTATAGGGCACATACGCATTCAAATGTTACTACAATTCTGCATAAAAGGCGAATTCGGGAGGCACTTTTAAACGAAATCGACCGATACCGGGAATTTTTCCTAATATTTTTTATGATGCTGTGTTAGATTGGGCAAGATCGTGCGGACTGCGTAAGTGACGACAGACGCTTCTATCCGTCGCTTTGCGTTTACACTTGCCTATCCGACTTTAATTCAAAACAAACACTAGAAAACTTTGATCGTTTCCGAAATCCGTGAGATCCAGTTCCTCAACGGGAAGACGACTGAAAAAAATATCGCAAGATGGCTTTTTATAAGGGGGAGCGGATGAGGAGAGTATTTGTTTGTCGAAAGTTTTGCATTAGTTTGATTTTCCCAGGATTTCCGAGGAGCTTCCATGGGGCTTCTGGGAAAGGACCCTACCCATGCTTACGCGCATACCATATCCGACTACCCCTTGCTTGTTTGTTCAATCGCATCTATAATGAACGCACTGTCTACCCAAATTCGACCCTACACCTTGAAGACTTCAGAACCGGCCACTCCCATGCCAAAGCTCATCGGAAATTGTGTCAGATATTCGGCTCTAAAGCACCTTATAGGCGGTCTATGCGCACCTTGTTCTAAGACTTCATAGCAGGAAACAATAAAACCGATGAAAAAAAATCTAATGCGATATCGCTGGACGAAGTGAAGAAACTGGCGGAACAGCGCCCATATGAGAGGGTTCGTGCTACCAACTCCAGCCGATCAAAGGCCACATTTGTCCCGGGTTTGAAGCCTCTTGTGGCTACCACATAAACTGACTGACAGCAATCGCAAGAGACGCTTGGACCTTGGCACTCAGCTACATTCCCGAAGTCGCACCTTTCACTGGTTGGACGCCATCGTTACAGGGATGTAACATGGGTCCTCTACATCAACCACACAATCCAATCCGCCTGGTTTGATCGCAAAGGAATGCCGAAATCCGTGGAATGAAGTCGTGCTCCAGTCTTAGTGGAGAGTTCGTGGAATCTGCAAGTTTGAACTACCACAAGATAGCACGACAGTTAGTTCCAAATTCAACTGCAACCACGACAGATATTAAAGCAGGGTCTTATTCACTACCGTTCTCAAACTTTTTTCGTGCCGACTCCTCCGCCATTCTTAGAATTCGTATGGTTCACTCGCTCTTTCTCCTCCCTTTACTCTAATGAATATTCTCTTCAAACAGTGACGGCTAACTTCAGACTCCAAGAAGTATTCCAAGAAGCCATAGGTTTTCCAACCTCCATCAGGCGAAGATGATGTAGTGGCAAGTGGCGCCCACCATTGCACCCATGGATCAGGAATCGATTCCTGATCAATACCTGCCCAAGCCATCCAAGACTTCTTTCCCTCTGCGGTCGATCGATTGATACGGGCCTTTCTTAGAGGATTAAAGCTGCACATCGGCTGATCACCGCACTTTTTTGTATAGGCCACATATGCAGTCTATTAGCTGATGCTCTAGATCTGACGATGCGGAGCCGTTTTTCAGGCAGTTGAAAACTCAAGAAACAAGGACTCCAACATCAACAAGCAAAGGGTAGGCTCCCGACCCCATGCTGTACCCACACGTCGTTTTGATTTGTAATAGTGTTAAAAAGCTAAAATCAATTCAAGTGAGTGTTCACGGCGTAACCCGAAAAGCTGCATTAATAGAATTGATTGTGTTTGTTAATGTGTTCGCCTTGTTTTCTTAATTCGATGCTTACACCTCCTGCTCATTCTCCTATTTAGTGGCTAATAAGATCTCTTTTAGGAAATGCCCGATTTGGGAGTGGGCCAAGTGAAAAAGGCTCCTACCCCACCCTTAAACGACCGAGGTCTTTTCGTGCCTTTCGAAAAGGATGGCAAACGGATCACTGAAATTCTGCGGTAGGGATATTTATTGTAGATTCTAAGGACGGAAGTAGTGTGGTGGCAAGTAGCGCACTATCACACATCTATGGTCAGAGGTTCGAACCTCAGATTGATAAGCGCCCTAGTCAACCGAGTCTTCCATACCTCCATTGTAGACTTCAGATTTCGAAAAAAAGGAATAGAGAGATAAAAAAACTCTGAAAGGGAAACTCTGAAAGGGACCCGAAGTTTTCAAAAATAAATAATCTCGGTCCTCTAATCTCCCCATTACCCNCCCTATGGTTATCATCTCCCATCTACGTTTATAGGTTATTGAAATCGTTTTATATCTGATAATCATTCAGGTTCAACGCGGTTGAAGTGTTCTTCGCCGGATTTATCCCCCCTTTGGTTGGCTCGGTATCGGCTATCCTTATAGCTTTGATATTCCACAATGACGCCATCAGCAATTACAACTGGCAGTGTGGGGTACGGTATCGGAACTTGAGCTATTACATTTTAATTTGTGAGAAAATTTTATTGAAAACAGATTTTTGAATTTTTATTGGCTTATTTTCTTCGAAAGCTGTATCTCCAATATCTACCGTCCTGGGAGAGCTAGGGAGGCTTTTTATATGAACTTGGTCCGCCAAAAGGAACAGATCGTTTCATGCCTGATAGGAGGGTTTTGGACTTTATTGCTTATGTTCCATGGAAGACTTGTACGTCAAAGGGTAGGGATCTGTCAGAATGAGCAGTTGGAGTTCAGGATACCATTGTACACTTCCTATACTTACAAGTCAAAAAAGGGACTTTATCAAACGTGATGAGTGGTATCGCCCCCTTCCCCTCCTCCCCTTCCCTCTTATAAGCATTCCAGAATTCATTCATCTTCCACAGCCTTCGATCACTTATCCCAAATCTTTTCTTTGATTTTAGCGGGCGAGGCTACCATCTCTATCACGTATCATCAATCTCTCAGTGGAACGGACGTTTTGGCAACTGTTTTTGCTATTCCATGTGCCAATTAGGGTTATTGAACTGATTACTGGATGTAAGTAATTTTATTTAAATAGAATTATTTCATTTTTGATTTCAATTCGAACTGCTTCAGCTTCGAAAGTCCCCAATTTCTACTCCCTCCGTAGCACGTATACAACTTTTTCTACCATTAGCTTCTGGTGCCGCATAACAATATTAAAGGCACGGTTCACGATAAAAAAAGGTTACTGAGTTCTCCCTTCAGGAATACTCATCGTCCCTATGGGTGGTAGAAGTGACCCTCTTGCTCCCACAATCTCGGCGCGTAGGGCATAGTGGAAGCCCCGTTGCTGC